TCTACTTGCCTGATTCCTCATATCTTATTATGGAGAAATTTATATTGGCTAATGGCTTTGGCCATGAAATAGAGTTTCAGACACACTTCCCAGGACTCTCTATTTAAACAAACAAACAAAAAGCATTCAAGCTCAATTATCAGTCTTCTAATTTACTTAGCATCCTTCACGCTTAGGATGTGATGTTTTGAAACAACCTTTTAAAACTGAGAGCAGTATCAGGCCAACCCATCCTGATGCTTAGAAAGGAAAGCTCTGGGAAACCAGATGAATGTTTTGTGAATGCCAATGCATAGGTTCACCTAGAGGCCTTCCACTGTTGCCTAGCTGCTGTCCTGGACAGCTCCTTTTTTGTGACTCATTTGGGAATTTGGATGTCCAGCAGCCTCACCTCTTCCTGGTGTCTCAAATAAGGCTGTCCAGGAAAGCAGCAATAGTGGCTCAGAGGGTGGATGTACACTAAGGATATGCATGCCTACCGGGAGAGGTCAGTGGTCTACTTCTGGTTTGTGCTTTCAACATAGGAGACAGGTTTCTGTGCTTGTGCTGGAGGCCTTAATGAGAGGGGAAAATGGTGGCTGGAGACTCACAACAGATGTTACCGAAGCCTCCAGGGAACTGGGAGGCAAAAATATTCCCTCTGTGGGCTTTGCACTCACCTGATAACAACACTGAGCAAGTTATTTAGACCTGTGCTGTTAATCAAACAATTATAGCCCGTAATCTGCCATGAAGATTTCCTTATCTGAGTCTCTTTTTTCTTTTTTCTTTTTTTTTTTTTTTCTGACTTGGAATATATTCCAGAGTTTACCTTAGTTTAATTTGATCAAGCTTTAAAATGATCATAGTTGAATTGATGTGAATTGTCATATAAGGGCCATCCTTCTTTTTCAGTGGCTTAGTCTGAAATGGCTTTAACCCAAAATAATTATAAAATAAATAGGAATAAGCATGTCTATTACAAAGATTTACTTTGTCGCCCACTGAATCCTTTTCTTGTGTCAGAAAGGCAGTCCTTCAACTCATTTTTCTCTCTGTGCATGTTTCATAAAATTGACATGGGGATTAATATTCATGAGCTGCCTTTCAGCTCTTAAATAAAACACTGTGTAAGGCTACATATCAGATTAAAAATGAAGTATCATGTAAGTAGAGCATGAGACTTGCCCTGGAACTGAAGGATGGAAGATCCTCTCAAGGTAGGCTAGAATCATATACCCATCTCCTCATTTGGATTTTAAGATCAGTACTGACTTATATTTGTTAATTTGGAAATAACAGTACTTTCAATTTCACATTAAATATGCTGCCAGGGGAGTATTACAGTGATAGAATAATAACTTTTTTGGCACAGCAAGCACTGAGTAAACACTGTTTTACTCAGACTGTAACTGTGGAATCCAAGGCAGGTTTCTGGCTCCTGTGCCAATAGTCCATCTGTGGAGGTTGCCCTTACAGAGTGTGTTTGAGCAAGTCTGACACAGAGGTGCTGAGCTTTGTTTAATGCTCCTGTACTTACTGCTCCAAAGAATTAGACCTCAAATTCTTACAATCTCCAGTTCCGGCATGCTGGCAGAGTTGGCTTTTTCTGTCCCTGACTTTATTAAGAGCAAGTTGTCAGCATCTTCAAAAGCTGGACGAAGAGGATTTGTGTTGCCCCTGCCATTTCCGTTCTGCGTATTCACAAAAGGAACGTCTGCCTGAGAAACAGAAACACTGCTACACTGATGTGTGACATCTCTGTTTGCTTGTTTTCATCTGTTCTCAGTGCAAGTGTTGGGCTTAACTCGGGGTATCTTGCCCAGTCAGGAAGTCTGGGAAAGGCTGGCAGTTGTGTATGAGGGCGGGGGGTGGAGGGGGTGGGGGGGGGTGCAGAGAAAGGGTGTTATTTTTGCAGAGCTGTAAATCCAGCACCTTTTGCCAGTGCTGCATTCTTGGTTTATGGCTTGTTTCTAAGAAGCTATTGCTGCAACAGCAGTGGCTGAAAACAAAATCTCATTTACTCAAAGTTCATGACAGGACAAGTCGTGCATTTTGCACATTTGTGGGTCACTTGTAAAGGAAATACAGAATGCGCTTTCCAAAAGCTTCAGCTTGAAATGCAGCAGTTTCCATGCTGCCTGGAGTTTCAATGTCAAAGAGATTTCTATTTTTAGAGAGAGATTCTACTCAAAGAGCTATATAAGGCTGTGCTGGGGAGACTATTACTTTTTTTTTTTTTTTTATAATATATGAGAATACTCACTACTCAGTGGGGGATAAATCTTCTGTGTAAAACTGGAAAGCACAAAGATACTCTTGACTTGGATGTCTTTTACAGGGAGAGGGAACTGAGATGAGAACCCAAGACCCAGTACTTGGGTTTTAATATTCTAATTTTTCCCAACTTCTTGAATCAATTGCTTTATCTATTAAAAATGTCAGAGAAGGCTCTTAATCACAAGTGATGATGCAGAAGAGAAGAGAAACTTCCAAGCAGTTTGGTGCCAAAAGGCAACTTACTATGCTAACAGGTGACAACAATGGGAAAACCCAACAAATTATTATGTCCTTCATGGGAAGCTAGGTAGAACTTGATGTTACATATTTAGTCTTTCCAACCACAGTTTTCTTAGTTATCTTGAATACAAAGTGCACCTAAACTGGTTGGGTGCTGCAGAAAAAATAGTCAGAGTGGTCACATGGGCTAAGAATGGTAATCACGGTTAATAGCAGAAGAATAGAGCGGTGTCTGAAATGCTGCCTTGCTAGGGAGCCTTCTTCTGAAGCCTATTTTTTTTCCCCTCACACAGGATCATCCAACAAACACATAACCCTGTCACCCTTAATCCCTATTTTTGTATGAATAGATAGAAGAAAGGTCCGAACGGAATTGGCTAAACTTGTATTCTCAATTAACTTTCTCAATGTAATTTCTACTGCAGTTTTAAGAGGAGCTATCTGGCTTCCAGGGAATAATTTGTCTATGAAGCACAGGAGACATTCTGGTCAAACTTTCAGAGTCAGCCCAGGTAACGCTGGTTTGAGCAGCTGTTGCCAATGTTAGCACAGCAGTTGGGGCCAATATGGTTTTGCTTGAGTAAGGACTAGATGAGGTAACAGAGCTAAATTAAGGACACTGGGTCCATTTCTGCTGTAGTCTGACACAACTCCGGTGATTAGTTCGAAATTGGAAGCAGGACTAAACTAATACTGGTCTTAACTTGTCTTGGGCTTCTAATTCTGCTTTTATATTGTCTAGCTAGCTATGACCTAACCTATTTGGCTTCAGGTGAATAAATTTATGAACGGTTTGAACTATTTGAATTAGGGGTGAAAAAGCACAGCAACTAGAAGTGATGCCTGCATTCCAGTAACATAAGCAAAGACAGCAATGTTGTATCATGCAGAAAATAAGACAAGGCAGACTAATCGGTGACAAAGCAGAAGTATAGGCAGCAATTGCTGAATAGTTCAAATCAGGAAAATTCCTTCATCCACCCAATGCACTGAACCAGGAATAGCGAGAGAAATAACACTCTCTACTTTGACATTTGTTTTTCAGAAAAAAATAAAAGTTTTAACTTTGAAATGTACCTTTAGAAAGCTTTAGAATGTACTGACATACCAGTCCAGGCTTATTATTAGAAGTATGAGAAACAGTTCAAGTATTTTGGGGAACTACCAGTCTAGCCAAACTACTGCACCCCCCTCCCCGGGTACCTTTGCAGATTTATTGGTGAAATCAGCTATATACTCACTCTGTTGCTTTTGAATATAGGGCAGGAACAGAACAATGGGATGACACTACTGGAATTGTGGGCATTTCTTATGTTGTAAGTACAGGGACTGCACCTCAAGGAAATAAATTAGAAAGAGATGTGACAGCTGAAGAGGGGGAGGTGAACTGTACCATTTCTCCACACTTTTAAACAAAGCAACAGTGCCCCGTAGCGGCAAATGGCTGAGAGCTTGAGTGCTTTTTTTGGTGCAGACGTGCCAGAACAGTGTACTGTTACTTTGTCATTAGAACATCTAGCAGCCGGATGCGAGCTATAAAAATTTTTTAAGATAATTGCAGGAATTGTAAGGGATTAATCATGATAACTTTAAGAAACTTGGTCATAACTCTACAATGTGGTTCTGTTAAAGGCCTTTTGCAATGTCATATTCATTCCTGGAATAGGGCCACAAAAACCAGGTCCTCACCCTTCCCAGTCTGTGTTGAACAACTAACCCTACTTTGAGTTGAAACTTTCTTCTCCCTCTCTCCTATGAAATGCCTCTGTACCTTCTCTTACCTCACTAAAAAAACACCCAAGGTATCTTCCTGTGACAGTCCCCTCTTCCTTCCTAAATGTCACCAGTACTGCTGGCTTGCTCTGCACCAGAGATGTGTTCCTAATTTGATCCACTTCGCAGCTGTCTCAGGCAGGAATCCCAGGCTGCCTCTCCCCAGTTCCTGAACAGTTTCCTTCTGGGATTAAACAAATCTTTACACTGTTTCTTTAACAAGTAACTGGTTGAGGTTTTAGAGATTAATTCTGACTTTTGTTGGCTATACATTCAGATGGTAATGAACTTTATGTTGTTTTTATTAATTTTTATGCTATTGAAAAGACATTTGTTAAAATGGTATACATCGAGTCAGTCAGTTGTCTTCATGTATTCTCAGTGAACTTTCTCAGTGTGATTTCCACTGAGTTTCATGCTCTACTTGTAAGATGCTGTTCTGCACTTGCATTTGTTTTCATTTTGTTAGCTGTTGTCCGAAGGGAGATTAGAACTGGTAATTACTAAACAAATAAAAACTTCCATTTGATCAACACTGTTTAATAAGGACATAAATCTATTACATACAGTGTTTCCATCTGTAAAATGTTAACGCAAATATATTAATATACAGTTGCCTATCCAAAGCAATAATAAAGGACTATAAGCTCCAAGGTTAACTTTTGGACCAGAGAAAGGGATATGTTAATTGAGGTAAGCTCTCTTTCTGATTGTTTATAACAAGGTATATAAACTTGCATTGAACTTTTTACCCTACATCAGCTGGATATGTTGAAGAAAAAAGTTGAAAGAGCTGAAAACCAAGAAGACATGACTTCAGACCTGAAATTTTAGTTGATTTGTCATCTAAAATGGTGAGTTCAAGGATATGTATTTGATCATTCCAATTGGCTTATCTTTCTATATTATTTGCAGATTCTTATTTTATATTAACGTCAGAATTTGACTGAATACCATTAGAAACTGACTGCAATTTTTTTCTTTAACATTATTCTAATGTTTATCTCCCATGCACCTCTAGATAAGCATGCTTCTGTTGTCAGTGCTTAGTATTCTCCAGTCATATCAGACAATAACATATTCTGCAAATTAAAAGGAAAAAAAGTCTTTAAAAGGTATAGGAGGGAGGTGGAAAGCCCAAGCTGTTCTTTAAGACTGGTGGAAAAAAAGCAGCATCATCTTACTGAAATGCTGCTGCAGGAGGAAAATAAGATTAAGCAATACCATTATGCTGTAAACAAACACCATCAGTCTGTAAATCATGATTGCACAAGGATTTCATATGGCCTCCTCTAAATAGCTGAAGGTTATCTCAGCAGCACAAAACACATAATGCTATAGAAAACAGCTGTGTTGTGTGTTTGTGTGAGCCTGAATTTAGTTAAAAGGTCTGTTTGAAAAGCCACTAACTTCCAAAATATTTATAAACATATTACTAATCCTGGAGTCCTTTTGTGTAGCTGTTTTAGAGACATACTTGCCATCGTACTTGTTCTGAGAGTCCAAGACAAAAAGTTAAACCGGGTAGAAGAAATGAGATTGAGGGAAAATGCTAAATAATTACTTTTCTATTAAGTACTTCTAAGCTTGGAAAAAGCAACTGTCTAGGGAGTGCTTCTAATTCTTTTATTATTTATTCAATATTGCGATATTTAAGATACTAGAATGGTGGGAAAAATATAATATGGGCAGGTGAGCATAAAAAAAAAAAAAGGGTTGTTGTCAATATACAGTCCCCCGTAGGAGCTGTGTATATCATATTGATCAGAAAGGTGAAGCTCAAAACTTTTCACAGCCACTCTGAATTAGCTAGCCCCTGTATCAAGGAAAACTACAGGCCAGAGTTACAAGTGTGTTTCTCAAGCATCTTATACTCAAGAATACTGGTCTTGATACAACCAGACTGTAACTACTCCCTTTCACTTTTCATATATTCACCCTTTCAAAATCCTTGTCTCAGACTAAATAAAGATTTCTGGTAATTTCTTGAATAGTATGGAAATATCTTGAAGAAGACAGAAAGGGCATTTTGGGGTTTGTATTCTGGATTATTCCCTCCCCCCCTGTGTCTGATTTCAATATGATCTTAAATGACTTCCTTTTGGTAATGTGTGTTTGGATGGGATCATATGTGTTTGACAGTAAAACTATATATGTAAATATCATATAGAATGAACAACAGGTAAATGTGGGAATTTGTTTGCCTTTCACCTCAATATTCTTGCTTTCCTGTGATAGGGAAAAATGATTAAAATTATATAGGATTACTGTAAAGCATGCATATAAAACCATAGCTGACACTATTAAAATTGTACTGTCTACTATCTCTAACTTTATCAGGTTGTTTGGTTGTTTGGTTTTTTATTTTTTAAATATGCTAACCATTATTTTCTTTTTAATATGGTGGTCATCTTCCTTTAAAGAAAAAAACGTACATCAGAACTGTACGCACAGAGGATATATTGTTCTGAGATTTTACTGAGTTCACTTTCATGTTCAGCAATGCAAATACTAAATGTTTGGACAGGGCATCAGAATTTCCTTATACGGAGGAAGGTATTTTTTATTCAGAGAACTGTGTTCGAAACCATTCAGTAGTGTGTCAGCAGAAATAGCTGTGTGTCTGTGTGGCACAATCCTTGGGGGGAAGTTTTCTCTATATGTCTTTAGGAGCACCAAGGTTATAATGGTTGTGTGTGATCATGGCCAAGGTGGCTTTGGCCACACTAGAGTCACTGTGTATGATAGTAAATTTTTTTTTTAAAGTGTCAGTATATAGATTTCTATGTTAGAGGTCTGGATGCAAGCTGCATATATGCTATAACTGATGGGAGGACAATAACTCATCTTAACTGAGCTCTTCAGGAGGTCTTGTGCCAAAATAGAAAGTAGTTGAAGTAGCTGATAGTGATGATGAAAATAGCTGAAACTGTCATTCACCAGCCACACGTACAGCTAAGACAGAGAGTAATGTCTAGGGAAGAGGCCGTGCATTTTACTAAGGCAGTAAAAACAATATCCGGAGAGAGAGGAAAGTCTGATTGCTACTCAGCAGGGAATGGGCAGTGTTCAGTGTGAGTGAGTAAAGGTGGTTTTCCCAATACAGTCTGAACATGGCTGCTTAAGAAGCAGCATCAAGTGATGACTCTTACAGAACACAGCGTATGATAGTTGCTTAAAATGAAATCTATTTTTACAAAAAATGCATAAAACCAACCTTCAGTGTAGGGTACTTCCAGAGGATTATTAATTGGCTGGTGTTAGCTGCCTCTCTTCCTCACCAGTTTTTCTTGGCAAGTTACTGTGATTCCCACAAGACTTAAGCTGTGGTGTGACACTGCTTGTATATCTTGGAACAGAGTGAGAAGAGCTCAACAAGCTGTTGAATTGGGATTTGCATATTTGCAATGTGAAATTATGCTATTGGAATAGGTGTGATGATATTGTCACCAGCTGCTATCCTGAGATAAAAATATACTTGCCATTTTCACCTTGTTACTAGTCTTGTTCCTGTTGTTATACTTCTCATGAGCTGAACTCGGTGACCTAAGTACCATTACCTTATGCCATTACTTCTTAAATACATTAGATATTTATATCCAAGTCACATTTTTTTCACTACAGTCTATGCTGTGCTGAAAATCCCCCTATGTACTAAACATAGTTCAAAAGCTGCTTGCACTTTTAAAATCTGGATCTATACATCATGTTGATTGCCACCAGAAGGCCCAAATATCAATTTGAACAAGCTAGTTCATTTATTAAAAGTAGGGTGGTGGAATTCAATGTTGCCATTCAACCTCAAGTTATTTTACCTTATAGTATGATGAGATATTACACTATTTTAGTGGGCTTTGAAGATCTTGTCCAGAGCTGTAGCATGTACTTTCCATTGTACTATATAGGCAAGACTTCAGGTGGAAGTCTTGATTTCAGTTGTCAACATCTGATTAGTTGTCTAGGTACCTTTATAGTCAAAATTACTACCTCTTACTTTAAGTACACACCCGTGTTTCATCAAATGAATGTATTGACTAGATGTTCATTTACTATTAAGTCTGAAATTAAACATTAGTGAAGATACAAGACTCTGCATGTTTCAATCTGTTGATAATTACTGCTTTTTTTTTTTTTTTACTCCTTTTGCTTGGGTGTACACACATACTGTGCCCTTTGTACAAAGTGGTATAATGTAGTTCAAGCATTTTACTTTAATGAGATAGTAACAAAGACCTCACTCTAATTGCGTGTTATTTTAATAGAAGGCTTTACTACTAGTACAAAATTTAATTCCCCTGAAGAAGCAGGTGAAATAACCTGACTTGGAAAGCCTGTGATAAGAAAATAGTTATGTTAGAGTTGGCTTGTTGAGAGAAGTTTTTCCCTAATGGCTTATCTCTCATCTCAAGCAGTAGAGGGCAGTGAATCCACTACACAAAAACCAAAAAAGATCTTATCATAGGAAAATTATTATTCTCTTTCCTTACAATCACACTTCTAAGTCATTCTCTATTGGAAATGTAGGGCACACCCAAATAAATTACAAATCTGTGTAGGTATCATGATTTATTTTTTTACTTAATAGACCCAATACAGGCACAATTAGGCAAACTGTGATTATTTTCTAACTGTTACTTGCAGACCAGAGTACTGTTTGCTACCCTGCATATGTAGTTTAAAACTCTCCTGTGAATTTTTAGTTGTTGTCTTGATAAGTTTCAAAAGGAAACAGAGAAACAAGACAGAGGGAAAAAGAAAAGGAGATAAGCCAAAAATTAAAACTCAGGGAAGGTTGTGTGAGGACACAAAAATGTATTATCTGCAGTTACAGTTCTGGGTGGCTTTTTTGTAATTTTTCATATCTGAATATTTTTTGACAGAATTGAAATAGGAACGCTAAAAGCTGCTCAGTTACGGTGAGGGTGGGTTAAAACAAAACAAACCCAAAAAACCAAAATCAAAACCAAATCAATCAAAACATAACACACACCCCCCCCCAAAAAAAAACAACAAAAAAACCCAGTTTGGGACTTTTCCTCATGAAAATACAGACATTCTCCCCAAAACTGAATATAAAACTCATTTTTCCCAAGAGGAAGATTTTGATATGAAATATTCAAGCTACTATATTAAAAGCCATCCTAAAATAATTTCTGATGGAGGTATAGCACATTTGTATGGCACATTAAAAGTATTGCAACTTATTCAGTCAGTACCATTTTCACTTAATATGATTTTTAGTCTTAGACTAACAATAAGAATCAGAAGTTTGATCTAGCTGAGATAGGGAATTTTTTTTTTTCCTTTGTTTATCCTCACTAAGTCCATTCTGATACAGTATTTTCATATGATTCTCTGTATTCTCACATGTTACTTGATGTGGGGACATAAGGATTTTCACCAAATCTCTCTAGGCAGAGAAAAATCCCCATGGGGTTGAAAATTGGCTATTATCATTAATGACAGATCTCCTGTGAGTTTCTGTATTTCCTTACACAAAGCATACCACACTTTATTGCAACAAGATTCCGTCTTTGATTAGAAAACTATTAATGTTGTGCTCAAAGACATCAAGGAAGGATTTTTCTTACGAGCCTTTCAAGGCATTTGTCATTGTTTGGCTGCACTTTGCAAGGTTAGTTCCTTTAGAAAATGCTATGATTTCTTTAAAAAAAAAAAAAAAAAACATTCTACATTCAAACAGTATTACAGGCTTCTGTCATGGATCCCCTTCTATGACTTTTTTCATCATTCAGTGAAGCAAGAGTATACACATATAATTGGCTAATGAGAACCCACTGGGTGTGACTGTTGGCATTATAAGAGAGTCACATTCAAATCTGGAAGATATAAG